ATTTTTAATCCTTGAAATTTGAAGTTAGATAACAAAATCTTTACCTGCTTATATATTTAAGCCTTTAAATTAACACTTTTTAACTTTTTCGATAAAAACAAAATTTCTCTTCTTATAAGTGAAGGTTATAAAAATAAAAATTATTTGCATGCAGTTAAATATGTAATATTTGATAAAGTTCCTTATAAATTGGGATGATATGTATATCTATGAAACTTATTATTTTTATTTCATTAATAATTGCTAATTTAAATAAATTAATGATAATTTCAAGGAGGATTAAGCTAAATCATATTTTTTCATGAATTTTCAATTATGAAATGATTGATGTTGAAGAAAATATAATCAACATCTATATTTGATCATTTATATTATATATAATCTTAAGTATTAAAAAAAATTAATTAATTTTTTACTTAAAATTATTGATTATTTGAATACATTTCTCTAATTTTAATTGATTTTGGAAAACAATTAAATATTTCCTAAATTGGAATGGCCCACAGACCAGATTAACCCTGCCTTACTTAAATTAAAAAGGCTATAAGGTTTATATAGTTATAAGTTTGCTAAAATTGATTATAAAATATTTGGATATTTTGAATAGGTTAAATTTGATTTTAGTTGTATATAGATTACAAAATTTCTTCACTATTATTTTTCATTGTTTTATTCAAAATTTCTTATAAAATTTGATACTTTCTAAATCAGATAGATCAATTACTTATTTTTATGAGAAATTATTGTGTCAAATATTATTATCATTTATATTTATAAGACATTAAAAATGCCTAGATATATTAACAATACAGATTTATGATTATGCATATTTAATTTAATTAAATAATTCATTTAAGTAGTAACAACAATAATTTGAATATCAAGTATTAAAGAAAATCAATCAACCAATAGAAAATATCTCAAAACTAGTAAAGCATATATAAATGCATAGAGAAATTATAATTTTATTCCATCCACTGTAAATTAAATTAATTTAAAACAATTAATAAACAATTAAGGCTTAATATCATTTTTCAGTCATTATGATATCAAAAAAACATCTTAAAAAATAAATAAATTAATCAAATTATTTAGTAATGCATGCATTTAAAAATTAATTGATTCCATGTAGCTTCAGATTATGTTGAAAAACTTAAAGTTAATCGCTAAACCGATTTCAAATAATATTCTTGTATTCAGCAGAGAAAATTTGATATCCATTATTTTTTTCATCTATTTATTATATTAAATTTAAATATATAGTATTGTTATTTACTTAAACAAACAAAAAATTTCTTTTTGTTTTCTTTCTAGTCTAGTATCTTTTTATTTTATAATATCTATGTATATTATAAAAATATAGATTTTATTTTTTGAATCATTCAGAAAAGAGTTAAATTATCTGAGATAGAATAAATGTCATTTTTTAAATCTTTTATTATACAAAGTACTTAAAATGTTTAGAATACGATGAGCATATTTATTTATCTTAATTAGTTAAACTGTTCCTTTAATATCTGTATAACCTTTAATTACTTCAATTTAGATGAAAGTCTTTCTAGATGGAGCCAGTGATTAAAAATAATTAAGAATAAATTAAAAAATTCATTAAAATTTATAATAAGCCTCAACTTTGATGATATGCAAATTTTGGTTGTAAGTATTACCTCCTATATTTACTAATTCAAATTCATCAACAAACTAATCAGGAAATTATATAGTAATTATACTTGTTGCTGAGTTACTTTCATAAATTTTATTTTTTCCTTATTCTAATATAGCATAAGCAATTATATCATAATACCTGATTAAAAAGTGAGCCATAATCCCAAAACCAAATTTTCACTGTATTCAATAAATATTTTTAGAGTAATTTTATGGAAATTTATTTCCCTAATCCACATTAAGTATGAGGTACTCCAATTGTCATAATTTTATATATCCTATCTCTTAAACAAACCCCATCATTCCCATCTCTAAAATAGTTAATAATTTTTGATGAAATCAAAGCTCCTGATTAATATGATAACACATTCTAATGATTTCTCTTCAATAAGGAATTTGATTCCTTTAATTATCTAATGCAATCCTGTTTAGATATTTAAATTAAGATTAAAAGAATTATTAATATTGTTCTTATTTTCATTTATTACTTATTATAATTATTAAAAATAGTCATAAAAGCTAAAGTATAGGTTTGAATATATTAAAAAAATGATAACTTTATTACATTCTTATTTTATATTTTTTTAATATTCTGCTATGGATGAAGCATTTCAGCTTTCAAAATACTATATCACATATATTTTTTTCAATAACATTTCAAATACTATGAGACTATTTTAATGAAAAACTCTATCTTATTTCTTAAAAGTATACTTCTAATCATTTACTTTTACTTCGCTCTTTTTTCAAATAAATCAGATATGAATAAAATTTAGGTAATTATTCATAAAAATAATTTTAGTTCCTCAGTTTTATCATGCAAAAAAAATTAAGAACCATCTTAATTATGAATAGGACATTAATTCAATATTCCAATTCTTCTATAGAATGCAAAAATTATTCCAAAAGAATTTGATTGTTAATTTTTATAAATAAAAATTCTTATTATAGTTGAAACCTAACTAAAAAGATGGATTAATTATAAAATTAAATAGTCCTTAAAGAGGTAGTTTTAACAAAAATTAATATTAGTTATCTCTTTTCATTGTACTGTGATTGTTTTCAAATGATAAGCCTGAAGGTTATAAAGATTAATTCAAATTTATCTTATTTTTGTAAAATCTTATCAATTTCAATTGTTTCCCACTCCAAACTATAAATAAAATGGCAGATAACCTCCAAAAATTAAAGGAAAAAATAAGCCAAACACTTTTAAAATATTTATATTTAAGTTTACGAAATAAGATTTCTATTATTCTTTGTCTCATCTCTATAGATTAAAGATCTCTTAGCTTTATATAAAAAATTAGTTTATATTCGCAAATAATTAATAATCATTAGTAGAATGAATGAAGAAATGATCCTTTTAATTAAAATGATCATGAGTAATTAATTCATTTTGAATCCTTTTTTTTGTTTTATTATGAAGATAATAATTAATTAAAAATTAGGATATTTTTACTCTATTCAATCTAATATTCATCTGTTTTTGAAGATTTTATTTAAATGTTCTGATTCTTAAATTATAAATGAGTATAATTTATGACTAATAATATATCAAATAAAAGTGGTAGAAGTTAGAGATAATTTTACATTGTTATCAAATATTTTATTATTATTTTTTTAATGATAAATAAATTTAATATTTTAGGCTGAGAACTTAATTGTATTAATTAATGAAATTTTTTGAGAAAAATATATTAAAGTAATTATTTTATATTAATATCAAGACCAATAGCTCTTGGTGATTATTCAGTTGACTAGTATTTATTCATATCAAGAGGTTTTTAATTTCCTAATTATTATTCTTTAACCTATTATTTTTGATGTACTTTAAAATTTATTTTGTTTTTATGATAACCAAACTATATGTTGGTAATTATTTTGGTTTATGTATTCATTAGTAAAAGTTTAATAAAATGTTTTAATATAATGAGCTTAAGACTTGCTTTTTGGTTTAATATGCATTTTCAAATAATAAAAAATTTTACTTTTGAACATCAATTATTGATTTCATTTTTCAGAAAAAAATGTAGCTGTAAATAATATGATTATAGTAATATCCTTCTATAATACAATTATAATCAAATAGTTAATATTATAAACATTCAGCTGGCTTTTATAATAAAAAATATTCACAGTAGATATGAAAAATATCTCTGATGATTTTGAATTACAAGTAAATTAATTAATTAATCTTATTTATTGGTCTATATCAAGTTCACTTCAATTTATTTTAAGCAAAAGAGAATTAATTTTTCTATCACTCTATTAATTCAGACTAATAGATTTTTTAATAAGATAGGTAGATTGCTGTCTTTCTTTCCATCCCAAGAACTTAGTACTTGTTCTAGAATTTTCATTTTTACAAGTCATCGCATACAAAAAATTTAGATAGCTTATTAAGGGGGGGATTACCATTTCAAAAAAAGGAGAAATAATTAAAATATGAGTGCAGTCATTAGATAACTCCACTAGGAATTAGAATTAGAAACTCTCTAAACTCCCAGCATTATTAAACCCAGATGTCTAAACATTAATAACAATTTGATTTTGAGAATAAAAGTAGTGTTAAATTAAATAAATAAATAATAAATTAGCCAACCTATTCTCCTAAACTATTGAAAAAAAAATATCTCAAATCAAATTTGAATAGAATTCAATCAGGTTGATGATTATTTCCAAATAATTTTTAATTATTATTATTTAACCCTAAAAACATAAATTAAATTATTTAATTCATCAACTAATCTCTAATTTCTTCTTTAAAATAATCCAAATTATTAATAGAAATGGCTAAATCTTTTTAAAAATGTTATTCTATCTTTTTACTGATCTCTTCAAATATTTTTAATTAATTTATTATAAATAAATTGACCATTAGTGTTTTTGGTGTAAATGAAAAAATTCTCTTTTTTATAGAGATATTTCCGAATAGATTTATATTGAATTTGTTCAACTATCAAAAAATATGGTTATAAGCATATTCAAAATAAGATTAATATTCTACTATCTTAATGATTAATATAGCTTTCCTCTATTAATAATATTAGAGGCACTTGAAATGTCTATAATTAATCTTAAGATATCTTAGTTTTTCTGAATATCGGAAAGTGCCATAATATTGACTCATGTTTCTTACCCATTTATCATCCCTGTTTATTATTGTTAGATTATCGATTAATCTACTTTTCTATGTAAAAGAGGCAATTTTTTAAGTATGACGCCTTTTTAATGTTGAGATGAAGCTGTCTAAATTTTACTTTAAATTTATTAAACTAAAAATTATTTTTATTAAATTGTTGTTATAATAAATCTAAAAATACTGAGAGGCATAGAATTAGGTCTCAATTAAAACCATTTTATCTTTGAATTTAGTCAAGTTCAATGTTTAAGATAAAAAATTTAAATTATGAAGTTTGATTTTAGTTAAAAATCCTAAAATAAAATTTTTTTTATTGTGTCGTACCTATCCTTGATAAATTAGTAGATGAAAACTCATCAATTATATTGATTGATTTTTAATACCTATATAATTAAATTAAAACATTCACAAATTTGTACATTTAATCATTTTTGAAAGAACACATCAATCACTATTTTATATAAAATTCTATATATGGGTATGATATATCAATATAATTTATAATATTTTTTCTTTTAACTTATTAATTACAATATTGTATAAGTGTATACATCTTACAATGATGTTAAATTTATAACCTTTTGACCCAGATTCATTATATTGTTGAATTGCTTATTATTAACCTATCAAAAAGATCAATAAATTTTAATATTAAAATTGATAATTTAATAGCAAAAGTAATATCTATTTATTGCATTCCATTCATAGTATTTATAGTAAAGATAAGAATCAATAACTCACTTTAAAATCTGTAAATAAGAATTTATGAAAACTCTAAAATAAGATTAATTTATATTTTGTTTATAAGAAATTAGAGAAACGAAACTTTCATGAAAGGTTAAGAGTTTTTTTTCAAATAAAAAGTCAATTTTGAACCCCTAATCAAAAAGAGCTCTCGATGATGTATATAAATAAATAAACTTAAATTTAGTACAATTATGATTATATTCTTAAGAGATTTAAATACTTAAATTTATTCTAATAAAATTATTGTAATATTAGCAATCTTATAATAATGAAACAATTTTAAAAAATAAATAGTCATTGATATATAAATCCTGTTTATTTTTAATAAAAAAATAGAAAACTTTAGTTTCAAATAATGAAAAAGTAATCAATTATTTCCTTTAAGTATTTTTATTCCTCCTCAATATATTACAGTCTACAAAAATATTCTAAATCTTTTTATTATTTTAGTTTGATTAGATTAATAGATTTAATGAAATTATTGCTTTTTTTTTCTTATTAAGGATTTCAGATTTTTCTCCATTAACAGCTTCGTATGCTAATGCAAATTTTCTTAAAATGATCTTTATGTTTTAAGAGTGGTGATACTAGATAAACAGACATGCAAGTATTCACAATAGGATGAGATAGGTAGATTGAAAAAATTATTTTTGATGGTATTTTCTAACCAACGATATAATATATTTATGAATCTTTTAAATGTTTTATTTAATTATTAAAACAAAAAATGAAATATTTTACATTCTTAATTAAATTGTAATCTATTATTTTTAATTTATAAAAAACTAGAGGTTGTAAAATTTCCTGATCAATTTGTATCATTAAAATTATAGCATAGTTGTTTAATTTAATCATTTTTAATTTAGAATATTGTTAAATTTTATTAATATTTACAATTGACACTATGATAATGCTATTAATAAAAATAATTTTTAGTATATTTAATCTAAATCTAAGATTAGTTTTATGAATAATATTATATGATTTATCATCTTTTAGGTATCATATTAAGAGAAAATAATGATAAGATAAGAATCATTGCATTTTTTTAAATATAATATTTGAAGAATTAAATTGAGTTATTCAATTATAATTTTAAAACTAGTTTTTTTATCTTTTAGAAATTGAATTATTGACCAATAATAATACTAAATAATTTAATACGAACATCAATATTAGGTAGTATATGACTGTATACCAATCTCAGTGTTCTGAAAAATAAGCTCGAGTTGATACTTTAGTCAGATATTTTTTATTTATATTAAAAATGATCCTTTTTTTGAAGTAAATGATATTCAGCCTATCTTGAAATGATTTAGAAAAATTTATGATTTATTAACATACAATTATCAAACAACTTATATTCTCTTTAGTAATCCTTAATATTTTAATACTATTAATTCAAGTTTTAAATTAAAAGTCAAATATTTTTGCTGTTATCTATAGTGGATTACTCTTGTTTAAAAATTCATAATGGTAAAAAAAATCATAAACAATCCTGTAAATTAGAATAAAAAATAAAATCCTAAAAATAGATGTAAAATGAACGAAAAGTCATAAGACTCTGATTTTATGTTTTGCCCATCATATACAGAGGTGGTTACTTAATATTATGAAATAAGATATAGAGATTTATTATAAGTTTTTTGTTTGTAAGTTGAATTCTATTAAAAATTTATTATTGAAATTTAATTTATACTTGAAGTCTAATTGAATAATTAAATTTTTTATATTATTCAATATCAAACGTTATTACTTTCTCTCTTTTAATATTGTTTTTTGTTTCATTACTAGTTCAAAATTCTCCATTGATTGAATTGTTACACCTTTATTTTTAAAATTATTCTAAAATATGGTCAATTGGATAAGACAAACTTCTACTACCAATAAAATCTAATATCATCGACTTTATTAGTGCCAATAACACCTTAGATAGACAAAGATAAAAGCGTATTCAAGATAAAGATGGATGCCCAAAAAGATCACCAATTTCTCCAGCTTTATTCAATATTTATCTAGATGAATTTATTAAAGATCCGCTGTA